AATACCACATATTCCTCAGACCACAACAATTGAATTATATCAAATCTACCTACCTAAGTATAAAATTGCTCAGTTTGGGCGCTACACGGCTCTGGAGAATTTTGTACCTACGTTGACATAGCTTTATCAAGCAATAAAACCCATATCATGATAATGATCGAAATTATGATGAATATCATTCCATGCTAGGAGTAAATTCAATTTTTTCAGTAAATAAACATCTAGAAGGTAAGATAAAATTCTATTACTCTCATGATCTCGAAAAAATTCGTAATTCTAGTAATTTAAAACATGTTGTCTACTTGTCTAGCGCTCTAACCGAGGCTCAAACTAAGCAACTTTGTACTGAAGTAAGTTTGCTTGTATATTTCGTATTGTTTTGGTCTGATGAGAATACATATTAGGGACAGCCTGTATATCTTTGCAATTCGGACAAACGAGTTCACAGAAATATAAGTATGAAATTTAGCGACTTACTATGAGCCGATCTATAAACTGTAGAGTTAGTTTCATCGAGAGTTTCATAAACAATCTTGATATAGGGGCCAAAACTTTTATTGCTACAGACATGTGGCATAGAGAAACATCCCGAGAAACATTTTGAAGTTTTTTTGCACAAAAGCTGAAAAAATACAATATTCTCCTATTCAAAGATGTATACAATAATACAGGTAGGTATTGGAGAAATATCATCATTTACTTTATTTCAACCTTCGCTTCATTTCCTTATATTTTTGTACAATGATAGATCGATCATTTTCATTGATTGACATTTTATTGCCGATTCCTAGATACAGAAGGTTGACGTTTTGTGCGATGCACGAGAAATAATACCTAGGAATTTTTGAATGTATGATGAATTTACATTCATCATACAGGACGTGGAAAGTAATTTTGAATTGATATTTTTATCACATGGAGAATGCGAATTCTCAATGTATTTCTTTAAATATATATCCATTTTTTTGTGTTCATAAATATATCTGAGAATGTTCATTTCAAATACCTAGTAAATTATTTCAACTCTTCTAACTGTTTTTTTACATAAACTTAGTCGTCTGATCTCTCGAATTTTTCATCTTACTTTCAATTTGAATATAACAAATCTTTGCCATTTTCAATCTCTCAACTATTTTTTCTCGATAGATATTGGTACTTAACAAAAAAGTTGAACAGTGTGACCATGATAAGGTTGCGCCGGAGGTTGCGCAGCATGAGGGTCTCGCGAGGGATCTCGGAAACGGTAAGAGATACGAATTCGGCGAGGAATTCGTTTAAATGAGAAAAAAATTACGCATCCCAAGGGTCATACCTGGTCATAACAATGGATTACGAAAATTTACAAAATTGTTAATAATTCCCCATGGTTGAACTCAGAATAAAAAAAACTTTCGAAATCTGTGAACAGATAATCAGGGCCGTATTTGGAAAAAAAGTTGTTGATTTCTCTACGAATACGAAACGTCGCGTGGAGAAATCAATATCACCACGTTAAATCTCATCAAGAGATGCCATGTAAAAGTATTTTTAGAGTTTTCTATATATCTAATAATAATAATAATAATAATAATAATAATAATAATAATAATAATAATAATAATAATAATAAATCGACTTTATTTATTTTACATATAAAATCCAGGAGCATGTTGCTGACGTCAAAATAAGAAGAAAAGTTCGTATAAATATATGTCCGAAAGTTATTCGTTTCTGAGATACAGAGTGTCAAAGTTGAATTCTTATTTTTGTTTTTTGTTAATAAATTTCGAAATAATTGTGATATTCAAATGAATTTTGGTATTTCGGGGTATTTTTCGATGACAATATCAAATTTTATGTTAGTTCATCTCTTTCGTGAGGGTGGCGGCACCTACATGTCTTTTGAGTCTTTTGAAAAGTCACAACTTTTTTGTGCGTACCTGTATCACGTTCTATAGTAGGAAAATAGTTTCCTAGAACACGTTCGTGTAAAAAACATATTCTTCTGCGAGCAACAGTTTTCGAGTTATTGGGATTTTCAATAATCGATGCAAGTAATTTGGAATGACGAAGAAGTAGGAATTCAAAATTGATTCACCAAGTAGGTAAGGAAAATATTTTTTTTTTATTAATACTGATAATAATAACTGTAATTAAGACCAAATAAATACTAAAACAGTTATAGTTGAGGGAATTGATTAAAGTTATTGTTCAAAATGGCCAAAAAAATAGATACAAAGAAGTAAGAATCATCATTTGGCTACATTCCAATGTTGAATTGTTGAATAGAGGAGAATATTGATTGAAAGAAGAAAAATGCACTGACGTATCTTTTCTAGCTGCTTAGAGTCGACTTACGAGCCCAATGGAATTAATTCAAATGCATCGATTGTTTCAAATCCCAATATCTCGAAAACAGTTGCTCGCATCGACCTCTACCAAGAATATACTTTTTACACAAAAATGTCCTAGAAATCTATTTTCTTACTATAAAACGTGATACAGGTACGAACAGAAAAGTTATGACTTTTCAAAAATTCCAAAGACATGTAGGTAGTAGCGCCACCCCCACGAAAGAGACAAACTACCAAACTTCATTCGATTATCACAATTATTTTGGAATTTATTAACAAAAAACAAAAATAAGAATTCAACTTTGACACTCTGTATCTCAGAAACGGATAACTTTCGGACATATATTCATACGAACTTTTCTTCTTATTTTGACGTCAGCAACATGTTCCTGAATTTTCTTCACGTACTTAAGGAACACCCTGTATAACTGAAAAACTAAAAACAATTGTGAAAATTTTCCAAAGCCGTTGGTATGATCATCAAAATGCGCAACTTGTTTCCCATTTAACCGAATACGTTTCTTTTCCTGGTTCCCGAGATCCCTATATTACCTTATCTTGGTTTCACTATACAGGGTGGGCCACCAGTAACGCCTCGGTCTCTAGAAGGCTAACCACTCATCTTCTTGGAATTCCTCCTCTCTAGGAAGTTGCATGTCAACATAGGCTACCATTTGAAATTATTTCGAAACATACAGGGTGTCCCCAAATACCATAAAACACTGAAGTTGAACTTTTTTCTACCGAACACCCTATATATTATTTCATTTTGAGATTCTCCCTTGTGAGCTGATTTCAACAATCCATCATACTTGGGGTCTAGCAGTTATAATTACTGAGATATAGGGTGTGAGAAATCGAGATTTTCCAAGTTCAAGAATTTTTTGTGTCTAAACCATTCATAATTGGTCAAAACGGCTCACATGTCCCTATCTCAACTTTTGATCAACTATCTACTGACATTTAATTGAAACAAATACAGGGTGGTGCAGAATTCAGAATCTTGATCACCCGGTATATGTCCCAATTAAATATCAGTAGATAGTTAATCAAAAGTTGAGATAGGGACATGTAACCCGTTTTGACCAATTATTAATAGTTTCGACACAAAAAATTCTTGAACTTGGAAAATCTCGATTTTTCACACCCTATATTTCAGTAATTATAACTGCTAGACCCCAAGTATGATGGATTGTTGAAATCAGCTCACCAGGAAGAATCTCAAAATGAAATAATATATAGGGTGTTTGATAGAAAAAAGTTTAACTTCAGTGTTTTATGGTTTTTGGGGACACCCTGTATGTTTCGAAATAATTTTAAATGGTAGCCTATGTTGACATGCAACTTCCTAGAGAGGAAGAATTCCAAGAAAATAAGTGGTTAGCCTTCTAGAGACCGAGGCGTTACTGGTGGCCCACCCTGTATTTTCAACTGTTTCATCTGAAATGAATTGGGAAAATCGACTAATGGTATTCTTCGTGAACAAAAGTGAAACACTTGTCGTAAACACAATTCTTGAATAACTGGGCAAATTAAAGAGTTCCGAACGATATCTCAAGAAGACTTCAATGAGCTGTTAAAATAATTATCATTGAAATCGGCAAAAGATTTTTTTTCAATGTGTACCGGAACTTTTTTGCAAAATCTGTAAATGGTATACATACCTACTAATTTTTTATTTAAATAGGAAGAAACCTGTATAGGCTTCTGTCACTTGAATTCAGAAACACCCAGTAGTGTTAATGATACTTATCCGAGTACTTATCACTAATCCCTACATGTTTTTTTATTGCCCAAGTTTCGTCCTTGGGTTTGAATTCAACATACCTATCGATTGACTTTTTATGCATTTCACGAATGGAACTCATTCGTAATCTACCTATTTTTACGCAAAATTTTGAAAACTCCTTGGGATGTATGATAAATCTTTAGGAAATCCCGGAATTCCTTGGGAAGTCCGGGTAGTCTCTGGGAATTCCTCAGGTAGTCCCAGGAATTCCAGGTAGTCTTTGGGAATTCCTAGGAATTCCTTGGGAAGTCCCAGGAATTCCGGGTAGTCTTTAGGTAGTCCCAGGAATTCCGGGTAGTCTTTGGGAATTCCTAGGAATTCCTTGGGAAGTCCCAGGAATTCCGGGTAGTCTTTAGGTAGTCCCAGGAATTCCGGGTAGTCTTTGGGAATTCCTGGGAATTCCTTGGGTAGTCCCAGGAATTCCGGGAATTCTTTCAATAAAGGAAGTCTAGTGTACCCAATTTCAGCCCGTGATTTACCCCTCGCATTTCTTTATATGTTTCAGGATTTTCTCTCCTCCACATGAAGAATTCACTCAATCAACTGGAATGCTCTTGAAAAGTTTCCAACAACCCAGAAATATACTTAGAACTCGACTTAGAATAACCTTAGACCGCGCATTAGACAAAGAAGGACATGTTTTTCAAGTATCTCGGGATTCATTCAGTGTTATTTTCGTCAACACCTTTGCAGTAGAATTCTTGTTTATTCGGATCAGCCTCACTTTCATAAACCTCCTGAAGGACTATACACTCGACTATACCATAGTAAGGAATCATCAAGTCAAAACGTTTTCGGTCATTTTCTTCGTTTAGAGAAATTGATGTTCCATTTCATCCAACAAAAAACCTTGATATGCGATGAACATTTCCAAAAACTCACCTGCTGAATCCAGCAACCGGAAACGGAAACCTGAACCCCCCAACATCCGCATGGGGCACAGCCACTGGCGCTACCCCCTGAACCATAGGAACCTGATGGTGACCAGGTACCACTCCAGTAGGCGCCCCCGGAAACACGAACCCACTGTGAGGCACTACATTATTAGGAACCACTGTCTGCAAAACCGCCAACTGGTGAGGAGGCACCCCCAAAGGAGCCTGCGGAGGCAGTACCCCACTGCCGAGGGTAGTATAGGGCGGGGGCTGGTGACTGTTCAGCAGATCCGGCAACCTTGGATTACCCACTCCCACGAAATTGTCCCCCTCAGGAGCCCTAGGCGTCACAGGAGCGCTACGACGCTGTTGACGCCTATCCCGACGCTCCCTACGTCGACGCTCTCTATCTTCTTCCCCAGACGAGGGTAGTACCGAGATTTCATCGGTTTGCGCCTCGGTACTAGTGAAAGTCCTCGCCTCGCCACCCTTGATCTGGATAGTAGGCACACAACCAGTCACAACTTGCACAGTACCACCGGAGGACGATGGTACCGAACAACTCGTCACCCCGGCACTGCTAGCAGACACGTGGGACTCGTACCCGGACCCCAGAGGTAGTACCTGCACGTTGGACACTTCATTCCCTTGCCCATTATTGGAGGAATTCAAGCAACGGATCGTAGGCACCGAGGAAACGACGTTGACAGGCACAGCTCGGTAGAAATTCACGTTGACGTTGCTGACGTTCGCGTTGTTGACCTGTTGCGCGAACCTAGAACTACTGGGTACTGTTGTTGTTGTGGTAGTGGTGCCGCTTTCCTGTCTGGCCACAGCCGGCATACATTTGGGCACTGAGCTGCTTCTAGAATGGTTGAAAGGCTCGGATATGTTTCTAGAATGGATAGGAAGCAGGCCGTGAGTGGTTGTGGGTCTGCTAGGGCCACAGGTGACAGGCACGGAAGCGTAGCGGTTGTGGCACGGCAATCCCACCACATTGGCGCTGCTGAGGCTGGCATCCTGGAAGAAACTGGTCCTGTTCCTTAGCCCATGGTCGCCGGTGGTACCGATATCGGGTACTTGGACCAGGGGAGCGGTTGCTGGAGCGTCAGCCGTCACATTCACTTGCATATCACCACCTGTGTTTACATCACTGTATGCGCACTGTACACTCGCTTCACTCCAACTGAATGCAGCGCTCTGGCGCTGGCGTATCGGGACAGTCGAGCGGATTGTTGTGGTCGGGTCACGTGACGAAAAGTGGGTAACTGATTGGTCGGCGTGGCTGGCTGCCGCTCGCAGGTTAATAACCATTCGTGATGTCGATGTCGGTGGATGTAGGTCTGTGAAGTTGCATCGGGTCGTAGAAGTGCCATTAGTGCCATCGTTCTCGGGGATTTGTTCAAGGTCATCGTGCGTGGACGGGTTGCCGAAAGAGCTGCAATGATAATAATGGGGGGTTATGAGATAACAGGTTTAGCGGAGCCCTTTTACTTGTTAGAATGCAGTTGTGGAAATGATAATGACTTCTCTGCTGAGAAAATTGTAATATACAGGGTGTTTCACAGGTAAAGGGAAATATTTCAATGATAGATAGGGGTCGCCAAGGTGGTTCTGAAAATACCATATTTGATAGGTCTTAGAGTCTTCATAACGGAGATACAGGGCGATTTATCGATTTCGAATAATTCTTCATTCGTCTATAAGTATTGAACTAACCAGTATATTTTTCTAAAATTTGGTATTGAGCGTATACTTGGGACGTTGAATTCATTCACCTATCGGGCGAAGTGAAAATCCAGGTTCGGCTTCAGGAAAAATTCACATTTATTCGAAATATTAAAATAACACACTGTAAGTAATAATTGACAGAGTTCATCAAAGGAATCATGAAGAAGAGGAGAAACTGAACTGGATTTGATGCTTCTTGTTTTCCCGCCACCAATTCTCAGCGTAACAATCATAAACAGGAAGCTAAAAGTATGTCAATTTCAAGAGTATCAAAATTATGAAACCACTTCCAATTATGATTATTTGATATATTCTTGTTAAATGATCATTCGAAAGAACTTACTAAGTCTCACAGTCTTCATAACAGAGATACAGGGTGAATTATCGGTTTCGAATAATTAATCACTCGTCGATATATATGGAAATACAGGTTCAGCTTCAGGAAAAGTCTCATAGTCTTTATAACAGAGATACAGGGTGAATTATCGAATTATAATTATTTGGTATTATTTCCATTCCTCCTGATAGGTTAATGAATCCATCGTCTCAAGGAAGTTACATACCAAATTTGAGAAAATGTTACTAGGTAGTTTTATACCTACTTATGACGAGTGAATAATTATCCAAAACCGATAATTCACCCTGTATCTCCATTATAAAAACTGTGAGACTTAGAAGTTCTTTCGAGCGATTTTCTGACCAAAATATATCGAATAATCATAATTGACACTGGTTTCATAATTTCAATACTATTCAAACTGACATACTTTCAACTTTCTGTTTATGATTGTTACGATGAGAATTGGTGGCGGGAAAACAAAAAGCATCAAACCCAATTCTTCACGATTGTTTTGATGTACTGTGTTGATTATTAAATACAGTGTGATATTTTAATATTTCGAATAAATGTAAATTTTTCCTGAAGCCAAACCTGGATTTTCACTCCGCCCGATAGGTGAATGAATTAAACGTCCCAAGTATAAGCTCCTTACCAACTTTGAGAAGAATATACTGGGTAGGTCAATACATATAGACGAATGAATAATTATTCGAAATCGATAAATCGCCCTGTATCTCCGTTATGAAGACTCGAAGACCTATCAAATATGATATTTTCAGAACCACCTTGGTGACCCCTATCTACCATTGAAATATTTCCCTTTACCTGTGAAACACCCTGTATATGTACATTATGATGGTTTTGAATACAGGAATTTGGGCGATGGATTTTTTTTCGAAAATTTTGTTTGGTACGTATTTTTGTGAATGTGAACAAACCATTATTTATTGAGATATTTCACTATAAAATTACAAATTTCACCTTTTCCGTCTTCTGGATCGCATTTAGAACAATTTGCCCTTCTTTTTTCATCATTGGACAATTTATATATATCACAATGTACCACACATTTTTTTCTATTATACAAGTCAACAAGAAATATAATTTTCTTGTGATTTTTCCATATTCAGCATAGTGGAAGGAGAAGATTCCACTATGATATTTAGTGAAAAGGAGGAAGGATATCATTTAAAATAATGGCGTGTGTAATGTCATTCAAATGTTAAAAAGCAATCTGTTCAGGCGCGGTCCGAGGGGGGGTCACAGGGGTCATGACCCCCCCAAAAATCTGCACCACGTACTGTATCTCGGCAGACTCATCGCGATAATCACCAAGGAAACGAAGAGGAATATTACCGCCTGTCTGAAGATGAATTGAACCTGTTTGGCTTAGGTATTTTTATGCCAAAATCAGAATACACTGAGGATGACCTAATGAATGTGAAGAAGGCAGCAGAATTTTATACTCATTATCTGAAAGTTCCTGCTTCTTCGGTCGTTACAGAGTATCAGCTATGGATTTTAAACTAGAGGCGAGAGCTCGCAGAAAATAGTTCGCACGTGACCAGTTGTGTCCCTTCTACAATCTAAGTTCGTGACAATGACTCATATTCTAATATCAAGATTTTACTGAAAATTTTGGCAACCCTCCCCATGAACGCCGCTATACAACAGAAAGGTGATTTTCTACTCTAAGGGCCTGAAAACTTGACTAAAAGGAAGAATGTCAGAAGAGAGGCTAACGGGCTTAGCTCTTCCAAATATACATCCCGAGATCTCTCCTAACGCGTTGAAAACAATCGACCGATTCTCCAAATTGAATAGAAGATTTTCTTTTAGTTTGTAACTGAGTTTTTTGTTAACTTTTCCATGAATAAATGTTTCTATATATACTATACGCTATACTCTTCATGCTTTATTTGTTTTTTGTTCCGTTAGTTCGGTCAGAAGATGAACGGGCAGGCGATCACACTTGTAATCAAGAGGTCGTCGTGAGTTCGATTATTGAGCTAGGCGAGGAGCTAGGCGTTTCTTAGATTTGGGTTGAATTATGCTCAGTGCATGGTATATCATATGGAATGGAGCCTAGATGTCACAGTGGTTTGATTTCCACTTCTTCAAACTGGAAATCCCGTCGCACAAGACCGAGCACAAGACTTTCAAGAGCTTCAGAGTGTTACATTAGTAGCTTATGTAAAATGAGTGAAATAAAATAAATGAGTTATCTGAAAAGAAAATTGTCCTCTCCTGTTTCAAGTTGACCCCTCCACCCCAAATGATTGGGCTGCGACCGCGCCTGAATCTGTTGGCATTTGACATCTCGTATTTGGATTGACTATTGATTAAATGGCCGTCATCTGGTATCCTTGTTCATTAAACATAAAAATCATATTTCCTGTTGAATTTTCTATATAAAAGGATGTGATTGAAGTACATCATGAGTATATGAAGTGTCCAATGACAAAATAAGAAGAGCAAGTAGTTGTAAATGCATCAAACAGAAGGGGAAAAAGAAGGCGAAATTTCAAACTTTCTCTTGAAATATCTGGATAAATATTGGTTTGTTCACAATTTCAATATCAAATTCGTGTTTTTCAGACGAAAATACGTGAGTACCAAGAAAAATTTTCGAAAAAAACCCATCGCATGATAAATGCAGTTTTACCGGAATTTATTTATGTGTTTTTTTTTAGTTTTAGATTCCACACGTTTGATTCATTCGCTCATTTATAATTGGGAATTTGTAGTCTATTATAATCACGAATTCACATGTGATAAAACAACCACCTCAGTCAGGAAGGAATAAAAAAACTATGACAAAGACTTCTTGGGAAACAGACTGAATAGAGTGAACGAGTAGGTAGGTATGAATATTAATCAATGCATGATGATACAATAAAACGACTCGGTGGTAGGTAGGTCTTATTGATATATCGATTCGGATTGATGGGAAAAGGATGTAGGTATTATAAATTATTGAACCATCCAAAATAACTAAATTATTTACGATCTTTCGTCTTGAACGAACCATATTTAGTATGATTATCGAGTAAGGAATGTATTAGGTATTAGGTAGTTAGTTTATATTCGACTAAACCTCCTCCTACTGGATCCTTTTATATTTAGGTATAAAAGGAATGTAGATTTAATTCATTGGTTCATTGAACTCAATTATTCCTCGAGTAGGTAGGAAAATCGAGGGGTATTCGAAAAGTCTTGATATTTCAAGAAGTCGATCGTCATTTCCATTTCTCTATCTATTGTGCGACAACAGTGATCCTACTTACATAACGGAAATAAAGTGACATATTTCTCAGGAGTTGTAGTGTATGCAAGAAAGTAATTTGTCATCGGTCATTATATAATTTAGATAATGAGAAATGTGGCTCTTAGTGAATAGTGGAAGAATAAAGATTATCGATAGGAGTCATGTGTGAATTCCACATGAGTAAAACCAACGCGTTGTCATTTTATTCGTCCGCGTATACTACGTGAATAAGGTTGTTGAATGGTCCTCGTATATTTAATTATTCGCTACACTCCCAAAATGGACCTTACATTATTTATTTTACTTCCCTATCGACAAATAATTTGAGTAGGTACCACGTGTGTCATGAGATTTCATCGATACAGGTTCTATGAACAAAAATAGAAAAAAAAAGTTATATAAACACGGATCCAGAAATTGCCCCTTAGAGGATTATAGCCATCTTGATGGCGAGCCAGAAATGGAGGTTTTTTGAAAATATCTTCGAAACTGTTTCGGTATAAAATATCCAGATATGCCCAATTTGTAAATGTTAGGAATCTTGCAAAATTTGTATCAAGGGCGTGAGAAATAGGGGTACTTTCTCCCAAAACTTTTTGTTTATGTCCTTTTTTCAGCAGTTAACTAGGAAATGAAGAAATTTCAACATTCGTATTCAAAAATTTTAGTACTGTTTAGTTTCGACTTTAGTTGGCACCAGTTTCAAGAAGAATCGATTTATTTCAAAATTTCACTGTGTAACTCCTAGATTGTGACTGAGGAAAATTGTGCTATTTTCTCTATAAAGGGTGTCCCTCCGGGAACTGCATCGATCAATATATAGAAAACCATAGGTGGGCCAATTTGAAAATCTGGTAGTTCACTATTGTTGATAAGTGCTATCCGGCTCAAATATTTTGAAGATTGTGGCACTTCCGGTTGTACCGGAAGTGGACCCTAACTTCGTTATTTCTAATGGAACACCCTGACTTTTATTGCATTTTTAGATTCTTACTGAAGAGCTGATTTCATCGATGTATCACACTTGGGGTCTATCAGGAATGATTACAGAGATATAGGGTGTTCAACATCGAAATTTTTCAATTTTAGGATTTTTTTT